CTAATTGTGAAGGCCACTTTTGGGGGGTAAAGGTGATGTACAACTATCAACAACATGAATCTTGTTGGTAAAAGTTTATATTACCAACAAAGAAACCCATGTTGCTTATAAATGGTTGGTAAAAGTAGGAATTTTAGTAGTGACCATTGGACTAATACTTGGTTACTCTGTTTCCACACTTGACCATTTTCCAATCAAGAATAGAAATTGGCTCAAGTAATAGAGTGGAAATGAGATTAGAAGGCATAGTTGCTACAACTGGAGTGTGTGTTCCAACCTTCTTCTTAAGCTACGACACATGGATGGTAGGATGAATTTTTGTGCCAAGAGGAAGGTCCAATGTGTATGCAACTTTTCCCACACGAGCAGTCACTTTGAATGGTCCAAAAAAACTTTGGTGAAAGTTTATAAGATGACCTATGTTGCACAAATTCTTGCCTGTATGTTGCACAAATTCTATTGGCACACAGTTTTATTGCTTGGCTGACCATATTAGATAAACTCTCTACCAAGTCTAGATAGAAGAATTGGTCTTCTTCCATTGATGACACTTGTGTGCTATGTGGGAATGCAAGTGAATCTAGGAATCATCTCTTCTCTTGTCCCTATGCTACACATTTGGGAAAAGATTTCACCTATGCTGGAATTTCCATTAAACTGTGTTTGGCAAGAAACTTTCAATTGGTTATGTAAGAGAGTTAAGCATAAAGTCTTGTACAATTCTCTTCTTAATTTAGCTTGGTATGCATTAATATATCATATATGGATTGAAAGAAATAGTAGAATACATTGGCAGCTATATAGATCTCCTTCTACAATAATTGATATGATTCAAATGAATGTTCGAGACAAAGTACTAGGGTTTGTAAAGGAAAGATCTTCTCCCATGTCAAGGAGAATTGTAGCTCAATGGGGATTAAAAATTTTATGTACAACTAAGGTTTCAACATACAGTAGTTTAAAAATCATTTCAATTTTTGTATTAACATTAGTAGCAACCTTAAACCGAGAGAGCAGTTTTATGTAAATTTTGGTGTTTTTGATAATAACTTCACATTTTACCGAAAAGAAAGAGAAAATTAGAGTTTTTCTTTTCTTTTCTTTCCATAATTACAATTTTGAATGGGTTTACATACAAATCCCTCTTCTTCTTTTTTCTTAAAGAAAATGTTGGTGGCATTTCCTGTCCGTTATTTTATTTTCCCGCAGACCGAAATAAGAAGAGAAAATAAAAATAAGTTCAGTATACATATCCCGGTGCCGGAAAAAGGAAAAACAAAAACAAATTTTAGTACTCGGCAATGCTCTGGAGATGGGGCCGCCATTCAACTACGCGACTGCGACTTTTCCGGTGGGAACAATGTCGTCGTGACGATTTCACATTGGTCAGGTATCGATTGCAGTACTCCTGGGGCTGGGAGAGTATTTGTTGTTGGCATTTCTCACTCTTTTTTGCGGATTTGAGAGCGGTAGCGCCACAACCTTTTTTCTTCTTCTTAACCGCGGGCAAGGAAACTACCGGGATCAAGAAGTAGATGCTGCCACGCTTGAGCTCGGAGTCGGGCGAGAGGATGAGGATTTTACGGCCGTCGCCTTGGGTGCAGGGTTTGCTGAGAACGTGGTTAGGATTGGCCTGGAGGATGTCGGCGGCCGTGACCGGACGGGTAATCTCTTGGACATAGCCGTTGAGGTGAACTATTCGGATCAAATCGAGAGCACCGCAGGGAAGAACACAGCCCAAACAGCACCTTAAGCTGTTACCCATGCGTTGCTTTCTTTTCTCTCAAAAAAACAAAATTTTTTTTTTTTGAAAGGAATTGGATATGATCTTGATGAGTTTCTTCTCTTTAAGATGCAAGTATATATGAAATTGAAATGTGCATAGTTTGGGGCAGCAGGGATTATTTTTTTTTTTATTAATCTTTCGATATCTGATAATCACATTAAATTTTGATTAACTCAAAATTCAGTCACATTAAACCTCATTAAAAAAAGTTCTTTCAATATTTATTTTTTCATTTACAAGATTCGAATTCAAAATTTTATTTTAAAAAAAAATCAAATTTTTTTTAGTCGAACCAACAAATCATTTGTAGAAATTATTAATACATGAAAACAACCCCCATACGAATACTTAGGCTCAGCTGCCTGTATTAAATCAAAGCATGTTAAAAGTTTGGTTCATAAATAACTATAATATATCATAAAATTATGAATTTATAATTATAATATAATATTATATTAAATGGCAATGTAGTACTCCCTGTTTTTATTAGTAATTTTTTAGGGAAAAAAAAAAAGTGTTTTATAGTCTTCTTAATTAGGTGAATCCTCGTGCACTGGGCACTGATTATAATCTTTGTACGTATCATCCCACCCACCGGAAACTGCTCCCACAATCGCCACTGACTCCTTTGTCCGATAACACATGGACCCGTGGGCATGGCTAGTTAGCCAGCGTACATCTAACTGGATGTTTCAATAATGGAATATCAATGTTTTTCATTTTTAATTTTGTCAAATACCAACAAACAAAAACCCAAATAATACAGTTGTAAGGGCAGGTCCGAGATCATTGATCTCAGATGTACTATATACTTGTTAAGCTCAATCCTCTGCTTCTTGTTGACCTCGGTTATTCAATAACCGAGGTAAAGTCTAAATTCAATATTTCCTAGTTATATGATAATTATGATAAGCATGCCCCTCACTCAACCTTTCATTTTCATTTCCAAGATTGTCCTCTTATTAGATAATATTTCCATTATTTTGGTTAGTAAGTCATGAATATATTTTATTAAAATTTATAAATACTCTTAAATATTATTTTTAAAAAGTAATTAAAATCAACTTAAAAATTTTTTTATAATTATTTTTAAAAAATAAATTAAATTATTATTAATTTAAATATCATAATATCTATTTTGAGAATTAATTTTGAGATTTAATTTTGAGATTTTACTGATTTATTCGAAGAAAAGACTTAGGGCCTGTTTGGTATAGCGGTTAAAATTCAACAGATAGTGGGTAGCGGATAGCGGATAGCGGAAAGCAAGGTTTTTAAAACCGGATCGGACTGGTTGGTTGAACCAGTCGGACCGATACTCGATAATGAAAACGGCTCGGTTCATACAAAAAAACCATTTGAGGTCAAAACCAATCAAAATCGGTCAAAAACCGTTCAAAACCGGTCAAAACCGATCAAAACCGATCAAAACCAATGAAACCGGTGGAACCAATAGAACCAAAAAAATCACCGGTTCAATTTCTCATGCAATTTTCTTTTTAGTTTTTCCAATTTCACCCTCACCATTCCTTTCTTATATCGATTTTAACCCTTAATTTTAATGAAATTACAAAATTACCTATCCCTCTCATCAAATTTCCCTTGTTATTTGAACCGGTTGGTTCATCGGTTAAATCGATTAAACCGATCAAACCAAAAACGGACCTGAAAATGGTTCAATGACCGGTCCGGTTTTAAAAACCTTGGCGGAAAGTGAGTAGCGAATGGTAAATAACGGATTCGATAAATATAACTATTTAGTTATACAATAGTTAACGGTTGTTGTTTAACATCAAATGACTAATAAGGACATGTTTAAAAACAAATAAGTGTATTTTTTAAAATATTTTTATTTTTTATTATTAAAATTATTAATTTT